TAACTTCTAGAACGCCTTCCTGAAACCGAAATCCTCACTTAATACCATGTAGCACTCGTCCACGACGATACGGTCTAACTGCCTTGTCCACCTAACCCGGTTCAAAAACGTGGTAAACTCTTCTTTAACTGCCGACTCGGGCGTAACGAACACGACGGCCGCTGCATCTGGCGGCCTTCTCGAATCCTACTCGGCGCACTAGATACCTATCTTCTTGTAACGCCGCATCATGTCCTGCCGCAACGCAATCAACGGTGTTACCACCACTGTCGTCCCGCCCGGCTCTACCTATGCTGGCAATATAAACAATACGCTCTTCCCCGAACCGGTCGGCATGACTGCGACGACGGCCTTGCTCCGGTCTGTAACGGCGTCTATTACTGCCTCTTAGATGCCTCGGAACCCGGCTACATCGTCGCGTATAAACTTCTTCAACCGGTCGCTCTTGTCTATGCTCTTTAACCGGGCCAACCTCTCCAACCGGGCGTCGTCTACCTCTGTCTCAAACGGGGCCCTCTTACTGCCAACCGGCTGGCCCTTCGAAACCGTCGACTCGAATCCTAAAAATAAATGCCATGCTTCGCTGGCGACCCTGAATCGCTGCCGCTTACTAGCTACTACACCTGCTAATTCTAACATGGCGCGTCTATACACGATCCCGGCGACGTGTGCTATATAGCCGGCCTGCTCGTCCTAGATCGAATCCTGCGGGTCGTCCTCGTTCCAATCGCTATCCTCGTCGTCCTCGTCGGGCCGGAACGCCATGTTCCCTCGCGTGTACTTGCGGCTTATAGCGATGGCGATGTCGCGGTACGCCTGAATAGTTATGGGCTGGCCTAAACCGACTGTTGTCTCGCGCTTTAACACCTTCCGCATCCGCTCCGACGTCTATTTGCTATCCTTCCCCGGGTCTATCGGCCACACGAACCCGACCATCTACCTCTTCCCATATACGGTGCGCTCGAATCGCTGCTGGAATGGCAAAACCAACTATATATACTAAACCAACAACTCGCCCACCTCGCGCGGCAAATACCGGTAGATAATCTTAACGTCGCCCTGCAACGCGTATCCTTTATAGTACCGGGTTACGAACACGACTATACCGTCTTCGATGAACACGTTGCGGCGCTCGCCCCTGGCCGTATTGCTATACCTAATGCTTAAAATCTCCGGGGCTCTTGCTGGCTGGCCGCCCGTAATATGCATCAACACCAACAACTTCTCCCTAAACGCGACGACCCGGGCCATATACGCGTCTATACCTGCCCGACTCGCGCCTGTCTCTATACGCGGATCGATAAACTTGCGGCGCAACGCTGGGTCCTTTGCGACGCGCTCCTCCATCAACCACCTCTCGCCATTTACCGGCCATTTCGTGCGGGCATCCTGCAAAAAATTCCACCCGACGCTACTATCCACCGGGTTGTCTCGCAACGTCGCCTATAGCACGGCGGGCATTTCGTTAGAACTTGTAACGAAACATAACTCCTCCCTCAAAATCCGCCGCGTCTCCCAAACCAACCTATAGACCATGCTGCGAAATTTGGGGACGGTGAACTAGATATCCTTATATAATAACTAATAGCCGATCCAATCGATGTGGCCGGCCGCCGTCGTGTTGTAATAGATCTTTAACCTATATGTCCGCAAATCTAACATCCATTGCATGGGCCCGTGGCTTCCTCTAATCATGAACCGGTTCATCATGCGTCTAACCGCCTGTAAACAACCGCCGCTTCTCTTGCTCTTGAACCCGGGTTATATTGTCCGCTACGACTGCTGCGACTATAATAATCGCTGGTACGGGAAACTGCTGCCCAATGCGCTGTCTCTGCTTCTGGGCCTTCTTCGCTGCTAGCTCGAACTGCTCTATCGCCGCCTGTTACCGGCTCCAAACTCGCTGTCCTCACCGCTGCTGCTACTGTCGGTCTCCCTTTGCGACTGCTGCTGCTGCCTGCCTGAACTGCGCCACTCGCGCCTGTTACCGGCTCGAACGATACTAGCCTGGCTATTGCTGCTGTCGCTGTCGCTGTCGCTGCTGCTGACTGCCTGTAACCCGAATTCTTCGACGGTCTGTTGCACCACTATGAACCGGGTAATCTTAATTATGGCGGATAAAATCGGTAGATACGTGTCCGGCCCTTTCTACCCGCCCTCCTCAACACCTAAAACTGCTAACGCGTAAACCAACGGCGACTCGTACTCCCGCTGCACGATCTGGTGATCTAATAACTCGATGCAAAACGCTAAACACGCCCGCTATACTGCGGATAATTTGGCCTTGTCACCTTCGTCGCTACTGCTACTGGTGTCGTCGTCGCTGCT